TATATATTCTACCAAGATAACAAGATTAAGGAGGCAGATAAAGCTCGACAGCGATATCTGTGTATAAATCAGTGCATGTTGAACTAACTACAACTTGATTATTATTATAGGCTGAACATAATTGTGTTTTTGTTTTATATCTAGTTTTGATAAACAGAACGAAACGGATCGCCGCAGGTGACAAACATCTATCTATCTATTAACACAAAGGATGAAGTGAAAAAAGCGCAGAAATAGTATTGAAAATGTAAGTAAAGCACATTACGTATATACTAATAAATTACACCGGGCAACCGCTCAGTTGTAGGGGCGGCCGAAAATTGCATTCACCGAAATAAATAAAAGGTGCTTTTGTATCACGTGAGCAAGAAGAGCAAAAGAGAGGAAATCAGATGTGGTAACTTATGCGTAAGTACAGGAACGTCTCGTATAGATGAAAACACAGACAAATAAGTTGCGTCAACCAATAAATAAACATCCAGTTAATTAAGAAAGAGAATCAAGTTCTTATCGCGTTTTATAACTTCGACGCTCATCAACTGATGACTTCCTGCTAAACCGCGAGACTGAGATTCAGAAACGCTGCAGCGTCATAGCTGATTCGTGCCGCGAGGATGTCAAAAGATATACAACAAAGAGACTAGTGAACGATAGAAGCTTCCGAAAAGGAGCAAAGACCAATGATTTACTTCTTTTAAAAGCGTAACAATATAATTTTTATTTCTTTTAAAGCATGACACCTCAAATAATCAATTGGCATGATATGTGGCACCATGCGCAAAAAGAGAGAGTGGACAATTATTCAAAATATGTCACTCAAAATAGATAATAACGATTTCCTTCTGCAAGATGGTATATTGACGAAATCATTATTTCTTGTTAGTGCAATGCACAGTATCACGGGATATCAATTGCTATTAAATGCAAAAGGAAAAGAACTTCCAGCCTCAAGAAGATCTTAGTCAGATGAGGTATTACTGTTAACATCAAACTTAATCCACATGTAAAAGATTTGCTCAGAGTTGAAGTGGAAGCTGCTGCGGTAAGTTCGTTGCTTGCCTGTGGCACGCTGGTATGGCGCATCAACCCATCATGCTGCTAGGTAATAACATGGGAAAATGAAAACTGCCAAAATAAAATAACGACAGGAAGAAGTGGAACCCAAAAGGGTGGAGTAGTAAGTGAGAAAAACTAACACACGTGTTACAGACCTGTGCGCTCTGAACGATGATATTGCTTAAAAAATAAAGGTAACAATTTTCGAAACGAAGCAAAGAGACGCATAATAAATACAGGAGAGTCGAGATAACTTATCGGAGAATGGAGCGTTCTCAGAGATTACGCCGTATCGGACTCCTGCGCACCAGTAACAGAAGCGCTTGAAACGATAAACGGTAATGGATGCAAAGAAGTATGCGATACAACAGAAGCGATACTATCGAGAAGGCACAGGAAAGAGGGGAACACTGAATCTACATTATTTATAATATATACTAACTCATTGTACGTGACTGTCAAAGTGGCCAATGATGTATGATGCAATGTAAATGATTCCTGTTTTCTGATTTGCTGATCATATACAATTACTTTCCTTCGTCAGGTGTGGCATGTAGAACATGCTGTGAATTCATTTGCCCCCTAATGTCAAGCAGTGATACACAGACGGTATTGGGCGGACGAGAATAACAGCAAATTTCAGTCGTTTGAGTGACAACGAATAGATCACCCAAAAAAATAAGGCGTAGTCCGTATTTCTCTCAGAGAAAGAAAAAAAGTTCGTTGCTGATAACGTCGTTATCAGCAACGACTTGAAACTACTTGCTGTTTCGCTCTCCGTTTTCCCCACGATCAATTCACATTCTAATTTACATTAGAACATTGATCACCATTCCAACATTGCTGCAATTCACAGTCGGCCGCACATACACATCTTAATGGTCCTGCCTTGTCCTAATGTCCGACATGCATGCGTTTCGATTATCAAAACTAATCTCATCACAGACTACTATAAATGATAATATGGTAAGGCCAATTCAACGATGTTAAGGAAGCGGCTATGAGGAGAAGGAGGAGGAAACAGAAAGTTGAGAGAATAGCGAGCAACGCATTACGTGTTGTGATTTTAAATTTTCGCGCTCGCTGCGTATCACTTTAATCAATTGAGTGAGGTCAGACTGTTCGTAATAGCTTACGGATAGGTTACTAGATAGAAATGTGTATTAAGTGGTAGAGGATGGCATTGGCGAAACACAAACACCGTGTGTCCTTTGACCTGCCCGTTTGAGTTTTTTCAAACATCCAAGTATCTGCCCGCTCCGATAAGCAGAGATCACATAACAGTAGAGAATAAGCAGACAAGTAACTTGCTATAAGGCAATTAGCAGTCAGAGATCCGCCGCGAAGAGGCAAAAAGTAAAATCCGATATAATAGTTTACGCAGACAGTACTGATATATCATTTCCCTTAAGTCGGTATCATAACAACGTAAATTCCACCACTGATGGTTCAGAAAGAGTCATAATCGTGTGAGCATTTCCACTCGTCTTTTCTATAGTCTTACTGGTAGAGAAAAAGGTTAAAGTTAAAAAGGCTAAACTAAAAAATTTGACCTGGCCGCAAATCTCAGCAACATTTGAAGTAATCGCTATTTAATGCACGAAGGCGTGCTTGTTCTTCATCAGATAAAGAAACTTAAACGCTCGTAATGTCGTGCTTCATCTTCATAATCTTCGAAATCATCAGGCTAGTTCTAAAAAACTACTACTAATAGACACATGGACTGGGTCACCTGGGAGTTGTATCTACCGTGAAGAACTATAGGTATTGATGAGCACGGATTGATTAATTCAGAAATCATCACCTTCAGAAATAGTTATTCATAACAGCTCAAATCATCCTTCATTGTCAGAGTGCAGTTACCTCTTTGAAGTTATAATTAATTCGTAACATAGAATAGTGAAGACATGGAGTTCGACGAGATGCCGAAAGCGGTACGTGCTGTACATACGTAGGGCGAAGATATTAGACATATAGCGTTTTGCAGCATGAAAACAGAGCCGAATTTGAAAAGGCTTACTCCTCTATTAACTGTTATGACTAGATGACACATTTGGTAAACTTCCTAGTAACATGTGTAAGTCCGTTAAAGCTTGATGGAGGATTTGCATCGATATTGACTATAGCTCACTTCTAGCTTGGCATTCAGCCACTGCTCGGGCAAGCGACGCTTTACGTGGTAGATAGGAGTTATGTCGACAAACGAGTCAAAGATTTGTAATCAACACCCACCCTCACAGCTGCCTTTAGAAAAGCCGGTACCTTAAGTGTTGGCATCGTTCTGGACTTCATTTAGCACTCATTTGCTAGAAGGGATCTGTTCGGAGGGGAATTCGATGGAAGGCGAGAAGGGAACCACAAAGCGGGGAATAGCTCAAAGATGGGAAAGCATAAAGAGCTACAGGAGAACAGGATGAAAAAGTCTAAAGGTGAGATTGTCGCTCTACTAGAACCGAAAAAAACTCAGGACGCAACATTCTATCGATAGCCGCACCGTTCAATTACTGCAAGTACCTTAGTTATTGCCATAAGGATACCGTGTGAAAACCAAATAATAATAACAATAGTAGTCCCGTCAAAGCAATGTCGAAAAGAAAGTAGATCGGATCATTATATGGTAGTGTATGAATCAGAGAGTTAACTCTATAGTTGACACCGAATAGAGAGTCCGTAGTAAATTCAGCAAATTAACAGACTCGATGACACTTATAAATAATGAGAGATTATAATAAAGAGATCACTGTCTAAAGAGAAAGCCTAGTTTGAGAAATGTTTTCATTTCGAAATTAATAACGCGTTACAATTATATTGACGCAATCACAAAAAGCATTCCAGAAAATTAAAAATATATACTTTTTCTAACAGAAACATCGAACGTGAAGCCATAAAGGCTTGAAAATATAAAATGTTATTAAAATGGCTGGTGAGACTACCTGTGGCTAGGAGCCGATGGCTGGAAATATATGCATAGAAACCACAATTTCTAGCTTGAAAAGTATGCATTTCACACTAGAAATTCTACATTATTCTGTCTATGAATCGGCTGGTTGAACTGATAGTATACGCGTCGTTCCTCGTTCGAATTTAGTCATCATTCAACTAAATGTCCTCAGTAATACGTGTGAGTGCTCTAAAAAGTTCTTGAACTTTTTATTAATCTTGTAATATGTCAATGATTTATGTAACGTATCTTGCCGCTTAGAGTTACTGCGTTTTCTGCAGAAACCAGTCCTTTTTTCGTAGATCAAAAGCGATCAAAGGACTTGTGCACGCCTGTTCCAATTATCTAAATAGGACCTATATAGATTTTGCCTGAATCGAATGATGCCATTGAAGCGCTGTAAATTTAGTACCAAAGAACACGGTTATAGCGTCTGACGAAGGCATGCCATCGCATTGACTGGACGTAGGCGCAACAGCCGTTGTCGAACCATTTCAAGACATCGATTCCGCTGTAAGACCAGAATTAGACGTTCGATTAGTATCGTCAGATGACTGGAACAAATCTAACATTTATTGCGGCGCTATTTCTTTTGCGTCTTCCGGTGACCTGCACACTTAGACTGATTCATTATTGAATAGAGACCGTGGGCCGTCCGGGTCCCGAATAAAAAGAAACGTATCTACGAAACGAGAATTCTTTAAAATCGTTGGAACAGAACTTACTAGTAGCTTGTTCATACTAAGGTTGCCGCGTCTACGAAAAGATAACTAAATAACTGTGTTACGTACTATCATATGCTTCTCCGATAAATGTAAGTTATCTTTCACATGTCTCCTTAAATACATGTGTTCGTGATTTGACCTAAGATGGTAATATTCTGATTCGGGCCCAAGACGTACACAAACGCAACACCAGCTGCACAATCAAAGCTTTTCAATTGGAGGAGAAAGGCGGCGCTCGTATCCTCATCTTATACGATATACTAGTATTTGAGAACATCCGGGTTTGAAGGCTGTTTTCGTGATAGTGGGTTAGGCTAATTCACGACAACTTCCGTTCACCTTTGAAATGATGGGTTTTACCAACCACAATGCTATGTGATTCGCGATTCGCACGCTTTTTTATTATATTGAAAGATGCTTTTTTGGATAGATGAATGTTTTGCATTCGGCATTGCTGTGGAGAAATTAGTTTCTAGTACAAAATAGTTTTTTTTTTTAATTTTTTTTTTAGGATGAACTTTGAGCTCAAGCTGGCACGCACGCCCTTAAGTCTAGTAGGCAAGCACGTTACCACTGAGCGGTCATAGTGACAATTGTTTGCGCATATCGACATTGTCTTGTTCATGACTTGCGCACTGGAAAAACGTTAACGAGGATTACAGTATCTCCCAAGTGTTGCAGTATCAAAAGGACGGCATCAAAAATGGTTTAAAAGATGGTGCTACTGATTCGAATGACAAGCAATATTCTAAACGGCCGCAAGAAGCGTACGACAACCTGCTGGTTCCATTGAGTGAAAACGTAGTCCAGCTAAGTCGAGGGCTCTCTGGAACGTAGTTTGCTCACCGGATAGAAAATAACTTGTCAAGTATTTAGCGTTGCTTCCAGGCGTTAGAAAAGGTCGAACAGGTAAAAGGGCGGACTATAGTTTGTTCTTCGCTGTCTATTCTACAGAAAAAAAAAACATTTCTGCATCATTATTGTATCGCTATGCTACCTTCAGCTGCCCAAATGAGACTATCAGAACAACATACTACTCATTTCAGCTCTGAGGGAGATATTGACGAAAAAGTGTGATGGATAATCACGAGACGGCGCAAAGAGATACTACTGTAACATGACAAATTTAGCTCTTAGATGAATAAATCGGGAACCCATTAATGGAGACACGGGTTCAGCTGGGAAATTTTGCTATACCTGACCTAAAATCTAAACTTTATGCCTACGGATTGCCATCCATTCACACAGCACAGTCGGAAAAAGCAGGCGGTACAGAAAATCTTCGAATGAGTTGACGGTTGGAGGCCTTCAAAAAAACGAACAATTCCTTTGTTGTTAAATTCACTTCTACCATATAACAGAACATTTCATACAAAAACAAAGGCATCCATCAAGATCTCTTCACTCCTTCAAAAAATGGGCAAAAAATTAAATTGCTCTTGAATGAGCCATAACCTCAGCGTCTTTTTGCAAGCTTGGCAGACTATTTTGCGTACAATAAGCTGATGTAACTTGAAGTTTCTATTTGTATATGACTGGTATGGTTTGTAGAGACCTTTAAAATAGGATAAGCAATTGTTCTCATGAAGCCAACTTCTCTTCGTTTCGTTGCCAAGATAGTTGACCTTGTAAACTGGAATTTTTGTAAACTGGACCTTGTAAATTGGAAAAGAGCTGAATCTCTAAAGATTGATCTTCAACCAACCAGTAAAAATTTCAAGTGCTTTCTGGCTTCGAAGTATGTCACTGTCATAATTATCTGCTTGCTTAACTGAATAATTCTTATTTTCATTACATAGATTACTTAATCACGTTAACAGCTGGAATTTACGGGACAATCCATAACCAGTTCAGCTGTAGTTAATGAAGCATTTCGTACAAATTTTCACACTATCTTTCCGAGCTGATCATTGGGACTACGTATCTTCAATGCTTCTCTTCAGCATACCCTGGGAAACATCAACTTTAAGATAGAAAAACTCGACGTTCGACGTCTGATATTTACTTACTATGCCTCGGCAAATGTTTTGGCACCAATAACAGACGCAGTCCGTTTTGTGTCGGTAGAGACCAGCCAGCTGAAGCCATACAGTAGCGGCAGGAGCGGTCGTAAGACCCGAAACATTTAGTTAGGTCAATACGTAAAAAGTACTGACATCATCAGAGAATAGAGCTTGGAGGCCGTCGTGAGTCGTCTTTGCAGAAACGCTGTGAGGTGCATGCGAATGTATGGACATTTTACAATGCAAACCCGTAGAAAGAAATGAATTAATTTACGGCCTATTGTAGGGAATGGAGCGAACAAAGATCAGATGATAAAACAGTCGTGACCACTTTTCGGACATCAGCTGGAAATGCATACGTTAAGTCGAAAATCCTTTTCTGTATGGGTTCCATATAGGTTTTTCGAGCACGATTGTGTATAGTCAGAGTGTGGGTTTTTTTGGCCCTTGGAAAAAACGAGAGCTGCGATGTGGAAAAAAATCTTGCCTTGCTGTTGACGTAAAGCGGCGGCACTTTGAACAGGAGTATCTACGTACAATGGGTAGTTCCTGCCAAAAAAATGCTGTGAAGACGAACCTGCAAATGGCTTCCGATACCTAACCTCTTCTACACGAACGTACTAAGTTGAAGGTGGCAAAACAAACAGGCTGCAAAAATGTCAAAACATTTTTAGGATGGAATAGAGTATAGACCTCTTGTCCACTGATAGATAGCGCAGCTCAAGGGATACGAATAATGTTGCCTGATTATCAAGGACAGGGAAAAAAATTGCATCCATGGTATGCATACTTTATGTTAAACTGGAGGTAAACAAAGATCACTTTTAAACATGAAGGCAGATTAAATTTTCAAGTGTTTTAAGTGAATTAGACGAGAGGCTGTCTCCGAGATCATTTTATAGACTGGCCATTCGTAACTTCAGTTTAGATATATATATTTCCTGCGATGCAAACGGACCTAGCAAGTTTAGATGGTAAAGTAGTCGATTGATTCTCATAAACGTCAAGTTGTGACGAAACTACCTCCATAATGGTGTAATTTATTTGATAGTAACTTGTTTGGCGGCCTTGTAATCCATTTGTTAGTACTATATTTTAGTGCACGCCTACATGATGCAATTACATAAAGGCACTAAATGCCAAAAAAAGGGTTTGACAAGCGTCGAAAACGGGAAAAGTGACTTCATGTTATTTAAAAATAAATATACACCTATAGCACGCATGTGGGGTTTCACACACAAAAATCCACCCTTGTTTCCAAACAGAAATGTCGCTCATTTAAATAAAATACTAGCAAATTCCAAGCGGTCCATTGCCATTTTTAACAGGCATTTTCTCTTCACACTGAAGGACACTGAAGGATCGACCTGTCGTGGAAAGTTTTGATGGATCAGGCCGTATGGAAGACGTATGAATCAAGAAATTTGTTTGCTTGCCACGGCTGAACGTCATTCCCACACAGGTTTCGAAGACGCATACGCCAGGAAAACGGATCACCACTATTTGCATCTTTAGACGAAATCACCCAGTGACAGTTTAAGCTTTTTCTAGCACAGATAGAGAATACAATGTTTTTCTAGTTAAATTAGAAATAAAGGCGATCTGATAAAATTCTCAAATCTCTTCGTGCCTTTACGCGCACTATCCTATTTTACAGGGTGAAGCTTTGAATTGCTAGCGAATAGAGATGGTGCGTCCAAGTTTTAGCGATATCACGTTTTCATTTGACACTTTTCTCTTCTCAGCCTTATCTTGTTGTAAGTTATCTACAGCTTGGAAGTATTGAATAATTTGAATTAGTTACATTTGTATCTAGTCAGAGTGAAAACTCGTAGAAAAAAATTGAAGTTAGGTCATGAAGTACAGTAGCGTATGGCTGTTTGAGTTGGGAACGCAGCTTTTTCACTACGGTAATCTCGCCAATATAATAATGTATTTGTACGTGGTAAACGAACGTATGTATTGTCGTTTGACACGCGCATGAAACTTATGCCATCAATAGTTGTAACTACCTCACTTAATTCCAAGTTAACAAAGCTCGCACGGATCGACGAACAGAGCTAAGGCAGGACGTCAAATCT